GCTGCAGGCTGTGTTATTGGGGGAGAGCAAAACAACAAGGCCGTATCAGGTATGTCATAGTTTTTACTGTGATGTATCTGCTACGAGCTGTTACTTGACTGTAGCATCAGGTGGGTGCAGATTTTTATTTGACACATCACTCATACGTCATGTGGCTCATTTGAAAACTAACATGGCATTGTTAGAATTAATGTTGTTTATTTTGGGAGGTAAATTCAGCTATTGTTAGATGAGAATACTTTCCCTGATAGCATAATTGTAATGGTGAACTGAAAAATGAAAGTGGTTTCACTAAATTTAAAAAAAAACACTCTCGCCAGATATATTTGACTGTCTTTCTCCAGTCCAATAGTAAATTACTCCCAGCTGTCATTTTCCATATCTATAGCCCATAATAGTTTTACAGTAATTACTGCTCAGTGATATTTTCAGTCTTTTAGAATGCATGCCTAGACTTTCATTATAGTGAAGGTACAATTATATTAATTCAGTCATTATCAGTGCATTAACCCCAAGGAGACAAAGCTGCTGTAGAAATGTTAACAATATTTTTAGGAGTTTTTAGTGATTGATAATGTGGTTCAGAATTCACCTTTCACACTTAGGATTTTGGTTTGAAAGTGACTTTTGACTATTTCAATAACAGATTGTGCACATGAGGTGTTTAATACAGAGAGAAGTAAGGACAGGAATCAGCAATTCAGCCTCTTGAACTCTTTCTGACATTTGGTGAGGTCTGTTTCCTAGGTCCATCCATCTACCTTGGACCAATTGCCTTAGATTTTTGCTAGCTCAGGATATTATTGGTCTAGGCTCGAGAAAAGGTAACCAAGAACCTGCGATAGCAAGAACTGCAGATGTTGGAGCATAGACAACACCATGTGAAGCTGGCAGAATACAGCAGGCCAGGCAGCATCAGAGGAGCAGGAAAGTTGATGTTTCGTGTTGGGACCCTTCTTCAGAAATGGGGAGGGGGAAGGGAGCTCAGAAATAGAGGAGGGGTGAGGCTGGGGAAGGTAGGTGGGATGGTAAAGCTGAGTGCAGGTAGGGACCATTGGGGATTGGTCTTTGGGATGGGAGGGGCGGATAGGTGGGAGAGAAGATGGACCAGTTGTGTCAGGTCAAGGAGGCAGGGTTGAAAGGGAGGGTTGGACGTGGGATGAGGCCGGGGTGGCGAGATTTTAAAACTGGTGAATTCCATATTTAAGCCATCGGGCTGTAGGCTCCTGAGGTGGAATGTGAGGTGTTGCTCATCCATTTTGTCGGTGGTGTCATTGTGACACTGGAGGAGGCCCAGGATGGACACGTCACCCAGGGAGTAGAAGGGGGAGTTAAAATGGTTGGCGACCGGAAGGTGTTGTCGTTTGTTGTTTACAGAGCGCAGATGCTCTGCAAAATGCTCTCCGAGTCTGTGCTTGGTCTCCCTGATGTAGAGGAGGCCACATCGGGAGCAGCAAATATGGTAGAACAAGTTGATGGATGGGCAGGTGAACCCCTGTCTGATATGAAAGGTTTGGGCCATCTCCGATACCTTCCTCTCCTCCTTGGACTTCTCTGTCTCCATCTCTGGTGACCACCTCAAAACTGGCATCTATTTCAAGTCCACCGACTCCCACAGCTGCCTGGACTATACCTCCTCTCACCCAGCCTCCTGCAAGAATGCAATCGTATACTATCAATTCCTCCGCCTCCACTGCACCTGCCTCCAGGATGGGGCGTTCCACTCCTGAACGTCCCAGATGTCCTCCTATTTCAAGGACTGTAACTTACCCCCTCCGGTGATCGAAAATGCCCTTAGCCGCATCTCCCGCACTTCTGCCCTCACACCCCCTTCTCCTCCTCCTCCCCAACAAAAATAAAGACGGTTTTGAGGAAGTGTCACCGGACCCGAAACACTAACTGTGATTTTCTCTTCACAGATGCTGCCAGACCTGCTGAGCTTTTCCAGCAACTTCTGTTTTTGTTCCAGAAATAAAGAAGGAATCCTCCTTGTCGTCACATATCACCCCACCAACCTCCACATCCAGCGTATCATTCTCCACAACTTCCACCACCTACAATCCGACCCCACAACCAAAGACAGAGATATTTCTCTCCCCACCTCTGTCTGTCTTTTATAGGGACTGCTCTCTCCGCGAATCCCTCTTCTGCTCCACACACCCCACTAACCCCACCACACCCGGCACCTTTGCCTGCAACCGCAGGAACTGCTACACCTGCCCCAATACCACCACCTCACCTCCATCCAAGGCCCAAAACAAACCTTTCATATCACCTGCACATCCGTCAATTTGGTCTTCTGTATCCGTTGCTCCCGATGTGGTCTCCTCTACATCGGTGAGACCAAGCGTAGACTTGGAGACTGTTTTGAGGAGCATCTGCGCTCTGTATGCGACAAATGGCAACACCTTCCGGTCGCCAACCATTTTAACTCCCCCTCCCACTCTCTGGGTGACATGTCCATCCTGGGCCGCCTCCAGTGTCACAATGACATCACCCGCAAACCGGAGGAGTAGTACCTCCTATTCCGCCTCGGGACCCTACAGCCTGATGGCCTAAGCATGGAACCCATCCCACTGACCAATCCCCACCACTGCCTACTTGCACTCACCTATCACCATCTCACTGATCTCCTCTCTCTCTTTATTTCTGAGCTCTCTTTCCCCCTCCCCATTTCTGAAGAAGGATCCCAACACGAAACATCAACTTTGTGATGCTGCCTGGCCTGCTGTGTTCCTCCAGCTCCACACTGTTGTCTCAACATAGAATCTGCTGTCTTTTTGTTTGAACACATCTATCACAAAATTACACTTAGATTGCAATACAGATTATTTGGGATTATATACTCAAAACACTAAAATTATGCACAGTTAATTTTTTTCAGAAACTTGGTAGTGTTGGCAGCATCATTTTACAGAGGCCACAGCTTAGATTTGTATAAACTTCTCACCTCAGCATGGAATCTTCAATGTGCTCATTATGATGGTAGTGCCATTGTTACTACCAAGTTTGCTGGAAGGTAGTGGTATGGAAATTCTGGTGCGTGATTTCTTGGAACGAGGATTGAATTGGTATTGATAGATAAACTGGCCAGCTCGTGACAATATGACATTGTGCTCTTAATAAAAGCTCCTGAGCTTGTTCCTACTTTTTGAATGCAGTCACCTAAATGAGCACTGCTCCTAGTGTAATCTGTGGTGCTTTTTCAGAAAGTCAGCAGTTGAATGCTTTGAATGCATTTGTAGGTAGTTATGGATCTATATGGATCTGCCTTCACAAAATGCTATGAATTCCAAAAAATTAATGTGATCATTCCTAAACTATCATTTTGAGTTCATCTTCATCTGCTCTGTTTTGAGCAGAGAAAATTCAGTTCTGACTCGAGTAGCTCACTCAGTGAGGCTGCTTGGTATTTATGCATTTCCAATGCAACGTTTCTTAGAAGCATGAGTGGCCATGCCTGCATTGAATACCAGGCAAGAGGTCAGAAAATCATGCTCCAAAATTGAACATGATTAGAGATTTAATTCCTTTTGTGGCAGCAAGTTTAGCATTTGCTAGTATCAGTGTTGTGTAGGGGTTGTTTTAGTCTTGCACTATGTTGTGTTTAGATTACTGTGAAGCATTCAAATTTGAAACTCAATAACCTATTAGGTAACCGTCAAATATATTACAGCTCACCTTTAATTATAACCAGAATTTGCAACACATTGTCCAGAAGACAATTGGGACAAAGACTATAAGACTTTTTTATATATATTCATTTATGGGATGTGGGCGTTGCTGGCCAGCCAGCATTTATTGCCCATCATAATTGCCTAAGAGAGCAGTTTAGAATCAACCACAGTGCTGTGGGTGTGGAGTCACACGTAGGCCAGACCAGGATATGATGGCAGGACTTAAGTAAACCCAATGGAGTTCTCCATCTGGTTTTATGGTCGTCATTAGACTCGTAATTACAGATTTGTACTAAATTCAAATGCCACTAACTGATGTGGGGGTCATGAACCTGGGTCCCCTGAATATTTCATTGGTTTTTAGGATTATTAGTCCAGTGACAGTACCACTAAGCAGTTGTCTCCTCAGTGATGTATGATGCCTCCCCTATAAGATATAGAAGCAGAAGTAGGCATTTCAGCCGAATCTGGTCTACCATTCAGAGTGGTCGTGGTTGATCTGATAATACACGACTTCACTTTTCCTGCCTTTTCTCTATAACCCATGATTTCTTTACTGATTAAAAATCTGTCAATCTCAGCTTTGAATATACCTAATGACCACCCCTTTGTGGTAAAGAATTCCAGAGATTCAATATCCTTTGAGAGAAGTATGTCCCCTTTTATTTCTCTTAAACGTACGACCCCTTACTCTGAGATTATGCCCTCTGGTTCTAGACTCTCCCACAACCTTTTTGCATCTACCTTCTTAAGCCCCTTAAGAATCTTGTATTTCAGTATTCTCATTCTTCTAAACTCCAATGAGTACAGGCTTAACCTGTTCAACGTTTCTTTATAAGACAGTCCCTTCCTACCTGGTATCAGCCTTGCAAACCTTCTACAGTGTGTCCAATATTAGTATATCTTTACTTTGGTAAGAAACCCAAAATTGTTCAAGGTATTCCAGCTGTGGTCTGACTAGTGCTTGTATTGTTTTAGCAAACCTCCCTACTTGTAAACTCCATTCCCTCTGAAATAAAAGTCAACATTTCATTTGCCTTTCCTACTACACACTGAACTTGGATGCTAGCTTTTTGTGATTTATGTGTGAGAACTCCCAAATCCCTCTGTTCTGTAGATTTCTTCAGTCTTTATCCATTTAAATACTATTCAGCTCCTGTTTTCTTCCTGCTAAAAGTGCATATCCTTGCATCTACCCACATGGCTAGGCACTTCAAATTCTAAACTGCATATTTCTTCAACTGCTTTTTGTGGCTGGTTGAATAATATATTCCTTGAATCAGTGTTAATTATCTATTTTCATATTTCATATTCTTATTTCAGGAGGAAGAGCAAGATCTACTTCTAAATAGTTTCAATCATCTCAAGGATATCTTGAACAATATAACAGGTACTGTACAAGTTTACTGATAATGATTAAACTGAGCAAATTGTGCATCAATCATTTTAAAGGTCACCTTAATCAAACTTTACATTTTTAGTTGCTCGATATTCTTTTATCTGCATTTGGTATTTAACGTAGTTGCAGAAATCAAAATTAATTAAAGGATTTCTTTAAAAAAGGTATAAATTTGTAATGTGCCTTTCAAACAGCAAGTTGGTGAAGTTAATATTCTCTTGAAGGATTGTCTTTTTTAAGGTTAGTAGAAATATTCAGTAAATTCTTCTAATCCTGTGTGCTGGATTGTAATAAATTCCAACTTGGTTTGAAATGCCTTTTTTCTTTACGTACTCAGAACTGAAATATTTGATCAGGTGTCGTGGAAATAACCATTGTGAAGTGGTGTTCTTTAGGTTTGTCAATATTATCTCATTTTTCCATTTTATGGGTTTCGGGGTTTATTTATAATTTTCAGATTCCCTTAGGAAGTGGTAACATGGTCTGTTCATTATTTAACCAAAAATTGTAATGAAGTGAGCGAGGCAGTGTAAATGTTAAGCAGTGTTCCAGTGGTGCACACTTTGCTCCTGTGTGCTGCCTGCTGGTATCTGAGCAAAGTGTTGCCTGTAATCCCTGACCCACCTGCACAGCATTGCTCAGTGGAGGTGCTTACTGTAGCATAGTACACATAATAATAGACTTTCATAATGTTCAACCTGGATAAACAAACCTTAGTTTAAAAATAAGTGTATGTTGCCTAAACATCATTGTTTTGGATTGTTTTCCACAGTTTAAAGTAATAATCAGCAATTCAGGAGGTTTATTTCTTTACATGGCATTGTTAGTGAGTGTGGTGTAGAGTACTTGGATATTGATGTACAAGTGGGCCATTGAATCCTTGCAATAAGTCTGTCCAAAACGGGGGGGTCATCTTACATGCAAATATAAAAGTGAACTGTTGGCTTTGGAGTGCATGGTTGTCATTTTGAAATGTCATCTGCTTCTGACACGAATAGTGGACATGTGCCATGCATCTTTGCAATATGGCCCGTGTTGTCTGCTTAATTACTTAAACCCGATTTATAAAGTACTGATAAGTAAAATATAAATTTGTGGGGATACCATTGGAGTCTCACTAGTACTGTAAATGTAACGAGGCTGCAAAGGAGGCTGATCTACCCAGTATATACAAAGACACGATTTTGTTTTTGGAGTGATCTTATATATTTTGATTACCAGTAGCTGCCACATCTCTGGTAAGAATGCATATGCCAGACAAACTGATCACAGGATATAGTCTGTGACTTCATCCCCAAACTATTATGAGAATCTTTCCGTCTGTTGCTCACAATTTTACTGAGTTTATCTCCACTGCTGACAAAGGATTCTGATCTAAACCTGGAGCTAGATAAAATGATAACCTACTTGAGCGATCTACTTTATTCACAGTAAGATAGGTCTTTCGTTGACTTCATGATCACAATAAACATTGGATTCTGCAAGTGGCACACAAACTCACTGCTTTCTTGAGAATAACCGCTCTTCAAATCTGGCCCCTTTTAATATAAAGACCTTCATAGATTTAGTACATGATATTGTCTGTTCAGTTGCCCAGCCATAGTCATAAGAGTTGTACAGCATGGAAACAGAACCTTTGGTCCAACTCGTCCATACCGACTAGACATCCTAAATTAATCCAGTCCCATTTGCCAGCATTTGGCCCACATCCCTCTAGACCCTTTCTATTCATGTACTCATCCACATGCCTTTTAGATGTTATTGTACCATCCTTCTCCACTTTCTCTGGCAGCTTGTTCCATACATGGACGACCCTAAGTGTGAAAACGTTGCCCCCTTAGGTCCCTTTTAAATCCTGTCACCTTAAACCTATGCCCTTTAGTTTTGGACTTCCCCACCCCAGGGAAAAGACCTTGGCTATTCACCCTATCCATGCCCTCATGATTTTATAAACCTCTATAAGGTCGCCTCTCAGCCTCCCATGCTCTAGGGAAAATTAAGCTTCTCCCTATACCTCAAACCCTCCAATCCTGGCAACGTTCTTGTAAATCTTTTCTGAACCCTTTTCAAGTTTCACGACATCCTTCCTATAGCAGGGAGACCAGATTTCACGCTGTATTCCAAAAGTGGCCTATCCAGTGCACTGTACAACCTCAACATGACCTCCCAACTTCTATATTCATTGCATTGACCAATAATGGTAAGCGTGCCAAACGCTGCCTTCACCATCCTATCTACCCGCGACTCCACTTTCAAGGAAGTATGAACGTGCACTCCAAGGTCTTTTTGTTCAGCAAAACTCCCCAGGACCTTACTATTAAGTGTATAATTTCTGCCCTGATTTGCCTTTCCAAAATGCAGCACCTCACATTTATTTAAATTAAACTCCATTTACCACTCCTTGGCCCATCTGTTCAAGGTCCTGTTGTACTCTCCGGTAACCTTCTTCATTGTCCCCAACACCTCCAATTTTGGTGTCATCTGCAAACTTACTAACCATACCTCCTATGTTCACATCCAAATCTTTTATATAAACGATGAAAAGCAGTGGACCCAGCACCGATCCTTGTGGCGCACCTCTGGTCGTAGGCCTCCAATCTGAAAAACAACCCTCCACCGCCACCACCCTCTGTCTCCTACCTTTGAGCCAGTTCTGTATTCAAACAACTCGTTCTCCTGATATTTCAGGTGTTGTAACCTCGCTAACCAGTCTAACATGAGGAATCTTGTCAAATGCCTTACTGACATCCATATCGTTCACGCCTACCACTCTGCCTTCATGAATCCTCTTTGTTACTTCAAGAAACGTAATCAAGTTAGTGAGAGACAATTTCCCGTGCACAAAGCCATGTTCACTGTCCCTAATCAGTCCTTGCCTTTCCAAATATATGTAAATCCTGTACCTCAGGATTCCCTCCAACAACTTGCTCACTACCAATGTCAGGCTCACCAGTCTATCATTTTTTGGCTTTTCCTTACCATCTTTCTTAAATAGTGGTACCACATTAGCCAACCTTCAGTCTCTGGCACCTCGCATGTGGCTATTAATGACACAAATACCTCAGTAAGGGGCCTAGCGATCACCTTAGCTTTCCACAGAGTACTATGGTGCACCTGATCAGGTCCCCGGGGATTTATCCACCTTTATGCATTTTAAGCTGTACAGCACCACCACCTCTGTATTATGGACATTTTCCAAGATGTTGCTGTTTATTTCCCTGCATTCTCTATCTTCCATATCCTTCTCCACAGTAAACACTGATGCAAAATATTCATTTAGTATCTTCCTCATTTTCTGCAGTTCCATACATAGGCAACCTTGCTGATCTTTAAGAGACCCTATTCTCTCCCTAGTTACCCTTTTGTCTTTAATACCCTTAAGCTTTGGAATTTCTTTGCTTAATTCTCTGCCTCGTTGCCTGTCTCTCCTCTTTTAAGACGTTCCTTGGGATAGATTAGCTCAGTTGGCTTGTAAACAAAGCAGACTGATGTCAACAGCTTCACGCCCTTGCCCGAAGTGTGGTGACCCTCAGGTTAACCTCAGTGCCAGTCAAGTCTCTACAGAGAGACCAGTCTGTAGTCTTCTGGGATGTTCCTTATGACCTATTTTGGTCACCTGTTGTAATATATCTCATTTTGACTGTAATTTAAAAAAAAAAAAAAAATTCATGGGCGGAGTGTATTGCTGGCTAGGTGTGCATTTATGGCTGCCTCAAATTACCCAGAGGGTGGGAGTCAATGCAACAGTCAACTGCATTACTGTGGGCTTGGAGTTGCAGACACTAGACCAGGTTAGGATGGCAGGTTTTCTACCCTGAAGGGTGTTAGTGAATCAGATGGGTTTTTATGACAATTGACAGTGGCCTATGTCCACTATTAGACTAAGTTTTTATTCCAAGTTTTTGTATTGAATTCAAATTTCACTATCTGCCATGGTGGTATTTTACCTATGTCCCCAGGGCATTAATCTATGTGAGAATGTTAAGGGTACCGTATAAAAGCAAAGGAAGAATTGATGATCGGGATAGGCATTTCAAACTGATATTCCCCTTCAGTGTCACAGGGATACTGAAATAAAGTTAGGCCGCTTCACCTGAGGTTAGTCAAATCAGTACTGGTTAGTGTGGCTTAGCAATTTAGCAATTTCATGTAATTCATAAATGGGGTTTAATATGCTGTATCACCTAATCATCTCATGCTATTTTTCGGTTCCATATACCAAGCGTTTTGAATCAGGTTGCATTGTTCACATTACTTGTTCAGCCTTCCTATATCAGCATCATTTGCAAACTTGAAGGTTTTATTCCTCATCTAATTGAATGTTATGTAACAAGAATTCTAGGGTTATTTTCCGGTGTTTCTCAACTGTATCAGCATCCTATCCAAGGAGCTTACTTGGCTCTAATATTGGATGTTTAGTGGTAAACTGACCATTAGTTGAGGCTTCCTCTAAATGTAAATGGCTGTGACCAAAAGGATAAGGTTGTATTGAATAGGACTGCTGCAACAATGGTCCATTTTTCTGCATTGTGTTGCCAAGGATGTGTCTTTTCTTCATAATAAGAAACTTGCCTAGTCTCTTGCAAGCAGCAGCAGGGCATTGGGGTGGATGCTTTTTATTCTCAAACCTGTTTTACATTCAAAATGTTCCATATATGTTAACTAATTTGTGGATTTTTCAGAATGGTATTCTGTGGTTAAGGCCCTCAATAGTGAACAACTATAAAATCTTCAAGTGGATTGCAAGAGAAAAAGAACTTGCACTTATATAATGCCTTTGTGACCTTGGAAACATATCGAGAACTTCCAAAGTCCTTTACAACAAATTAAATATTTTTAAGTGTTTTGAGTAAGGAAATAAGGTAATGACTTGATGATCATTTTGGTGACGTAAGATGATGGATTTATACTGACCAAAACATAAGGTACTCCCCAACCACCATAATAATACTAATATTAGAATTTTTGTGCCTATCTGAGGGGGTAAACAGG